TATGGGGGCTTCATTCCACTCCCCATTCCCGTCTTCCAGCTCAGGGGGGTGGGACCCAGAGAAACTGGTCTTGCTACTAAGGACTGAGGCAAAGAAGGCATTAATTAAGTACCTCAGCCTTTTCCTCACCCTTTGTCACTATGTTCCCCCCCGCATCCAATAAAGGATGGAGATTCTCCTCAGCCCTCCTCTTGTTACTAATGTATTTATAGAAACGCTTTTTCTTTTCTTTTAGGGCAGTAGCCAGATTAAGTTCTAGCTGGGCTTTGGCCCTTCTAATTTTCTCCCTACGTAGCCTCATGACATCCTTGTAGTCCTCCTGAGTGGCCTCCCCCCTCTTCCAAAGGTCATAAATCCCCCTTTTTTTCATGCGTTCCAGCCAAAGCTCTCTGTTCATCCAGGTTGGTCTTCTTCCTTGCCAATTCGTGTTTCAGCACATGGGGACAGCCGGCTCCTGTGCCTTTAAGATTCCCTCCTTGAAGCCTCCTTCCAGCTTTCCTGGACCCCTTTCCCCTTCAGGATTACAGAATATTTCATCTACCTCTTCATCCTGTCTGGGTGGTCTATAGCAGACTCCCACCATGATGTCTGCCTTGTTGGCCTTCTCCCTGATTCTTACCCATAAACACTCAACCCTATCATCACCATCATCACTCCAGCAGTAACAGACTACTCTATCAATCTAGATTCAGCCTTCCTCCTAGGTCTTTTGCTATGCTGAAATCTGAGGATATGCTGAGGAATTTGTTTTGCAAGCTTTCCACATTGCTCCACCTCTTTTCTTTCACAGAGGTAAGAGGTTTTGCAAGCCAAAAATCCTTTCAAAACTCGATTCCACAAGGGGAGATTTTTTTCCCTCCCCCCTCACTGGTGGGTTGTCCTGAGCTTTAAACTGATCGAATTTAGGACAGATTACATTTTAATGTCTCATAGCAGCAATTTTTGCCAGCTACTTTGTTAGACAGCCTTTATTAAAAGCAACTGTGCAGTTGGAAGGTTTTGCATTTTCTCCTTGAACAATCACTAACAGGAAAAGAATGCATGCCTCCCATCAGCTGACTCTAGTGGCTTTGCCAACAACAGCATCAACCCAATAGGGGACATCGTGACTAGGGCAAACAAAAAGCTACCTGTGCAGAAAGGACAGTATTTTGCATGCAGAATTGTGTCCAGAAAATCCTGGCCTTTCCCCCAAAACTGCAGCAGGGTGGCTGTACAGTAAATTTTATTAGACTTGGATTGTATGTGTTGGAAAAGAGAAAGCATAACAATTCTCAAACTTCATTTTCATTTGATGTGGACTTGATACCACAAAGAACTACAAGACTATACATAGTTCTGCACCAATCAAAGCATTTCTTGGTATAAAGATGAGGTTAGTGTTTGCTAGGAGGAGAAAAAGAAAAGAAAACCATGAAAGGATCGCTGGCCCTGCAGCAAAAGTTGGATTTATCACAACAGAATTGAGTCCTTACCTTTGCAAGATTCTCCGTAAAGACATTTTGTATAATCTTAGACTGTACAGGCCCCGGGCATATGTTGATAATACTTATCTCAGGGTAGTCGGTCAGCTCAGTCCGAAGAGAATTAAAAAAACCCTAGAAAAAAAGACTACAATGTAATCTTCCTTTGCCATGTTTCCACATGTAGCGAGGTTTAAGCGATTACATATTTTCATACTAATTCTATGCTGTAAAGATAATAGTATTCCACTAAAAGCAATTCCTACTACTTTCACTGACTTTTAACATTCAATGGCTAATTAAAAATTTTATCTGCAATTATAGACATCGATATAGCCACCCCTGGCACACACCTTCAGACGTGGCACCCATACAGCTGTGCTTTATCCACCACTACAGCCCCGACCCGCACCTTCCGCGTTCCCTTCTTGCCTCAAGGGGTCCTGAGCCCACTTATCTCAGAAAAGCCCCTTAGCCCCCAAGTTGTCCAGTCCTGTTCACAAAAGTTGTGCTGCCAATCCAGTTGAGTAACAAGCTACTAGACCCCAAAGGGGAGAAGGAGGCAGCACGTGTCATGAGCAAGGCCAGAAGACGTGGCACTGCTCCTTGTTCACACGAGTGCTTTGTATCCTATTCGCCACAGCAAGGATGGGAAGCCCAGGCTCTCCTAGAAGCACAGCCCAAACAGTAGCCTATGCAGCCATCTTCCCTCCTTTGGGCAATCGTTAGTTATTCCAGCAACACGGCAATGGAATCAACACTGCATGAGCAGGACTAAGCGAAAGTTCTCCCAGCCCACACTCCCTTGTCACTCCCTGTCCATTTGGGATGGTGAGGAACAGAACTGACTCCCATTTTGCCTGAAGGAGACAAACTCAAGATGTACTTCCAGGAGTCAAGGAGGTAGAAGGGGTGTGTGTCTGGGAATGCTGTGGTGGAAAGGCAGCCAGAAACATTGCTCGGTCACTTGTGACAAAGCACCTACATCTGCTCAAGTGCTGAGAGGCTTCTGGGATCCAAGTTCTACCTAAAAATGGCCACCTGCCCGCAGTTCTGAGTAGCCACACAGAGGCACACAGCAGTAGCCAGCTCTGTAGGCAACTTCAGCCACCTTCCTGCAGAGTCCACTGGCTCCGGAACCCTCCACTCCGATTGCCCCTTCTCTCCAACTCGTACAAAGGGAGCCTTGCTGACCTGAGCAAGCTGCAAGGTAACAAAAGCTTATGTGAGCTTACATTATCTTTGGTGATTGTTTCTACACAGTAGCTGAGCACAGGGCTGCTGAGGCTTTTTTCAGAGTGCTGCTGTTTGAGTAGCACTGTCAAAGTCAGTGCTATTTCATTAAAGGGTTGCACAGCCTGTAAAAATTAAATGCATGTAGGCAGAGATCACAGCGAGCTCCTGTTTCTGCTCTGTGCCATTCTGCTATCCCCCTCGATTTCAAGGGGTTTGCGTGACCCCTCCTTCCCCTGTGCTGCAGTTCCAAGTTTTTACACCATGGAAGAGGTACAACCTTCACCAGAAACATAGGATGGCCAGGACATTTGCTCAGCTGAAATACTGGCTGATACATGCTGAAAAGAACCTCTTGAAGACCAGAATTTTACCCCTCTGGGGGCTCCATCTACAGTATATACAGGTTCTCCAATTCCAGCACTTATCTTAGATAGCCAAAGATAGCTGGTATGAAATTCCCTCACTTCCTCCCAGAAGAGCAGCTTAAAATTCCTAAGAAAGACAAGAAAGTGCTCTCTTTTCTTGAAATTCAGGCAGGAGCAGATGCAGATTTAGAAGCAGTGAAGGAACTCAAGTGCAAGAGGAAGAATCTGAGTGTTTCCACCAGGCACAGCCTGAAGCCAGCTCTAACATACAGACACAGGGTGTGGAACAGGAGCTGCTTTAAGCCTTCTCTGGGCCTTTCCAGCTTAGTGACCAAATCCTAGAAGATGCTGAAGGCGGCAAGGCTGAACTGACTTCTACTATAACAGAAACATTTAGAAATTCCCCTAATGATCAGAGACTGAACAAAGAGCATAGCGGTTGCTGCTCAGTGCAGTCCACGTGCTTATTAGACAAGTTCCTGATTAAGGAACATTTTGAAGGCCACCATTTCTGATCCACTCCACATGCCACCAATTATAGGAATTACAACTAGATGAATGACACATTATCTCCATGAGCATCACCACACTAGGAGAGAAAGTGCATCAGTCAGATGCAGACTCCCGCGGACTTGACTCACGCTCTTACAGCACTCCCAGAACAGAAATAAAGGGTAATTTCATCAGTGGAACGTTGTTATGAAGAATTCCAGTTGGCAGGAATCAAAGTGCGATTGTTTCAAGAACAAATTTTAATTCTTAACAATTCCTTCATTCCGCCTCCGACTGCCATTTAAAAGAAATTTAAAAAAATAAAATAAAAAACAAAACTCCAAACAAAAGGAGGGACTTTTTAAAAAAAGACACATTTAAGATTGCAGCATTAACTGTGTCAGCTGTGGTGGACTCCAAGGCATGAATTAAGAAAAAAAAACCAACAAAAACTGTAATAGATGAATTCACATCAGATAGGCTCTCATATTTAATAACTGGTGGCCAAAATGCAATCTTCATTTCAAGAAGATCTTAGAATACAGACTGATACATGCTGGGAAAACACAACAGGAAAAGCATCACTTTATGCTTCATCTTACCTTTCCCCTACCCTCTCTAGCAATTTCTTCTTGGTCATTGTCAGAGACGGGCTACTGGGTTATCTGAAGAGGACTGCCATTCCTACAGACTTCCTTTACCTCAACTGTACTGATGAAATCTGAGATTTCAAAAAGCTTTTCTAGTTTTTGGGGGGTTCTTGCCCACATCTAGCCATAACTCCAGACTGATAAGACACTCTCAGACAGAGTCTTTTCGAAATCTATATTGCAAATCACATGTTTTAACACCTGCAATTAGTATTTGCAGAAATACTGTGAAAGAAACAAGAAAGGAGGTTTGAAGTCTGGCCAGGTTATTGAGCAGAGGTAGATGCTAACGAAGATATAAGCAGTTCAGTTAGCATATTTTAATTAATGCAGAGATTTTAGTATACTGTATCTTTAAAGCTTTGTCCATGTTCTTGATCTTAACGTGAGATTCAGAGTTCTGAGAATTTTTAAAGCAACACGTGAATTCCTTGTGCTCTGTGACTAATTAGCCATGCTTAGACCAACTACACCACACCCAAAAGATAATTCAACTCAAAGAATGCTTAATAAATAAAGGAGCATAAAGAAAATTCATGCTTCTGCTCACTGCATTCTTGTAATTTAAATCTACTAGACTTAAAACCAAAAGCTGGCCTCTAATGGGCAATTTCATTGCTGCCACTCAAATGAAGAGGAGCAGACCTCTCCCCATCACTAATTGAAAACTTTTTATTAGCAAAGACCTGTCACCATCTTCTACATCTTCATTCTCTCAAGTGTCTAATGGCTTTGCAGTGTCAGCCACTTGTTACATTTTTGGTGGTCGTGGTCAAATTGTCAAAAAGATATTGATCACATAGCTTAGACAAAGTTATTTACTCTGTTTATGTGCTTAAATCCAGCAGGGAGTAAGAAGGTGCCAGTTTTTTAAACCACCACCACTGAGCACAGCTGAAGTTTATTTTACTGAGATCAAAATGTACACTAGCAGGAAGTCAAACAGTGGTGAAAGACAAATATGTCTAAACAAATTTACTAGTTAAACAAACAATTCCTCAGTGATACAGGCAGTCTTTTTTCCCCAGATACTTTTCTGAGCTCTTCTTTTATGTTTTTCTATACAAGTGAGACTACTTTCAAAAACTTTCCAAGCAGTACCGAAAGTTAAGTGGTGTTATGCAGAAGATAACTTCCTAAGACACTATGAGCTGCCAGTTCTTCATACCACAGCAAGATTCAGAACTGTTGGAAGACTTGTTCAGATGTTCCCAGCTAGATCAGGAATTCTCATTTCTCTGAGTAGTCTGCTTTACTACTCACTGTTCTCCCTTTACTGTCCTAAAGATTTCCTGTAGTCTTAAAACTCTCACCAGTGACTTTTCCTCCCTAATTGAATTAAGATGAGAACATTAGGGCTTCTATACGCAACAGAATAATCCTCAGATTTAGGTATTCCTTCATCAGAAGGCCAGAGGCTAAGGTCTTGTGTTTCGCATTAGAATTTAACTACGTAGTGGTTAGGACCAACAAAGATGGCATTTGAATTTTAGTCAGGAAAATAAATCTACACTGGAAGCTGAGATGTTTTGCATTTCAGAGCGAATTAGTTTTAAAGGACTTTCAAAACCTGAGGAAGTTACGTGCGTTGTGTGAAATTTCAGGTGAGACTTGCTTTTTCTGCACAAAATCCTCTGCTACAGCACTAACTGATGTTGGTCTCTTACACAAGAAGACTTAATTAACCTCAGAAATGTAACTTACCTGCAGAGCATGCTTGCTGGCACAGTACCCAGAGGCAAGAGGAGCTCCCATGATACCCATCACACTGCTCACAGTAACAATCTTTCCTTTTTTCCTTTGGATCATGTGATTCAGGACATGTTTTGTTAAAGAGATTGTACCCAGGTAGTTGAGTTCCATTATGGCACTGTAGACATCCAGGTTTGTATCCACAAACAAGGAGCGCTGGGAGCGTCCACCATTGTTGACCAAAACATCAATCTCAGGAAAGATACAATGATAAATTAATATAAGCACATTTCCTGTAATATTTGTGCTTCCTCAGGCAATTGTTAAGTGACTATTCTCTTCCCTCTAGTGTCACCTCTGCCATACACAAGTAAGACGTATCAGCAGCTGAAGAAGTTTCAGCAGTTGCTCTCCCCCACTAGACTTCCGCTTTGAATTGAGGGCTGGCTGATTTTGAGCTGAGTCAACAGAACAAGAATACAGTGTTTGATGCCAAACAAGGTTAACTCCTAGTACAGGAACACCAGTAGCTGGAAAGTTGTTTTCCACACAACATTTTTTAACCCTACTGCAAATAACATTTAAGACTCAGGTCCTGCAAGGTGACCTCTGAAAATACATTTTGTGCAGAACCAGAAACCAATTAGAGTAAAGAACAGAAGAATCAAATCTGGTATCAATAATTTCACTGTCAAATCAAAATAATAGTGGACTAAAGGCCTAGCTTGAAGTTTTGCACGTTCTACTTAATACTGGTCAGATCTGACTGCTATTGTCTTAACTCCATACTCTGGACTAGCAATCAAGAAAACTACACAGCAAACAAGGTAAATAATTGCGCCTGATGTCCAGTTTTGTTCCACACGGTTCTGAACCCAAGTTACATGCATTACCGAAACTACAAAATATAGCTTCTGACTTTCACACACAATTTTAAGTCCTAAATACACAGCTGAGGATTACTCCAGTTGGTCCAGAAATTCAGTAACATCAAGTGAGTTTTTAGTTCTTGGTAATGACCAGTCATTATTTGTTCATTGCTGCGTCTCTGCAAAGCCTGCTGAAACCCAGAAGCAAGCAACAGAAGGGATGAAAATTCAGGTAATTTGGGGCAAGTTTAATACTGAAACTTAAGAAAGATGTAGACACTGGTGAATTTACCATACAATAGAATAAAAGTGAAATACAAACATAAATGTAGGTATAGGAGATAGAGAAGAAAAAGAAGTTTAACCGCAGAAGCGCACCTTACCTTGCCAAAATGCTTAAGAACGCTGTTGGTTGCAGCTTCATGAGAGCTTCTATCAGTCAAGTCAAGACGCAGAACAAGGATATCTTTTTCACTCAAGCTGCTAATCTCTAAAAACAACCATAAAGTGAATGGGAACCAATAAGATTGCTAACACAACAATTGTGGGAAATGTAACGTGTTTTTAAACACCACATTTTCACTAAAAAGACAACAAGAAACCATAACATGAAGTTGGAAATAAAATGCTTGCTTTGTTTTCATTTTGATCTCCAAACAGAATCCATTTTTAACCTGTTCCTACCAAGTCTTTTTTTTCTCATTATGTTTTTGCTTGTAAAAAGCTTGACTTTATTAAACAGGCTTGGGTAGCACAATATAGACAACTCGATTCTCCAAATTAATTGTGATAGTTGGGAGTAACATGCATTTGAAATTTTTCACTGAGCCACTCAGAACTACAGCGTATTGGCAGCCTGACACTTTGCTTGTATCTGGTCAAGTATGTTTATTCCTGACAATAGGACTAGGCCAATTTAGACCCAAAACACGACATACAGACATGAGTAGCTATATGGCAAAGTCTAGAGAAGGTAGACTATTGGAGGATTATTGGAGGAGCTAGAAGAAGGTTTTTGTTTAACTGACAGCTTTTAATATATCCATCTCCTGAAATAAAAGTCAGCTGTCATCAAGCTCCAGCCTTCATGTTGAGTGTTTCTACCACTGTCTCTTCAGAACAACTGACCTTTTCCATAGAAAGTATTTCTTGAGCAGTGATTTGTTACCCTGGGGTTTTGGGGCAGATGACTCACAAACATAAAATCTTTAATGATAATCTTTTCAGGTTTTTTTAACTACATATAACATGATTTTTTTGCTTTATTTGTATAAGTTTGATAGTGCTATTTTTGTTTCTAAATTGATTCCTAGCCACAACTAAGGGTACCTGCTCCCCTTTAACCAGCTGCCCTCTTTACAGGACCTAAGGCTCTGATTTTTTTAATTACTACTTCTTGTGTATACAATTAAGGTTGAACTTTGTCTTTACAGTGATATACAAATAAGGAGGTTACTTAAATCCATAAGTTGCCACTGTTCAAAGGTCATTAGTATCTAGGCTACTGGTTAAAACAAACCCAAGTGTCTGGTTTAAAGCTACCAGTATTTCCATTTATTGCTCCTTCCAACCCCTCCATATGCATTTTCCCCTCTGTTCTTCCAGAAACACAGCAGTAAAATCCACGTAGTTTAAACTACCCTCTCAGAGACACACCTCTACCTCATGCTCCTTCAAGCAGATATGCACAGTTGAAACCTACTGGGATGTGGAATGTTTCTGCTGTGGATTAAAAAGACCACACAGTCAACCCAGCCAAGAAAGCTACACAGGGAGGGAAATTAAAAAGCAGAGGAAGAGACACAGACTGCTGATAAGGAAGGAAGTGTTCTTTTATATGATGTAAGAAACTTTTGACTTCAGGAAATATCAAACCAGAAGCCCAGTTCTTGTTTTGGAGCAATCTATAGCCCAGTCTGATTTCCACCCCACAAAGTACTCAGACCGTGCATCTCTATCAGCTTCCTTACTTCTTTTCTAAGGTGAAGAATCCTTGCTGTGGTCACTCCTCATAGATAGCTTTTACAAAATTTCAAACATTCTTGTTACTGTTTTTCTAAACAACTTCTACTGTCCACTCATCCCACTGTTTTTCTGGCTGATGACCAGAACTGTGCACAATGTTAAAGGCATGTACACGTCCCAGTTTATACATTGTCAGAATAATGTTCTCCATTCCTTTTACTAATAACCCCCAATATTCCACTTCCTTTTTTGCTGGCTAGCAAACGGATATTTTTAAGGGAACAGCTCTGATAACTGAGAAAAACACTTACCCCCAAGCGGGCGGACCTTAGTTTAGAGTTCATCGTTTTACACAGATGCTAACATACGTTAGTTAACATCCTTTAGTGAAGTGTCTCCAGCTGCAAAGTGAATTGGACGTGGCCACCAGCTTTTGGATGCAACATACCTGAAACTGAGCGCTCAAAGTTCAGTCTACCGAGAACAAAGGCCACTGTCACACAGCTGTGAAAGGGCACAGAATTTTCTGGAGGTCTTTTAAAGTATCCTTACATAGCAGCTTTACACTACAGGGTTTCTGGTTGGGATCAAACCGCCCAACTACCAAGCAGCAGGTCTTCTGACTGGTCTTTTCCTATCAAGCAATCATGGGCTGCATCTTCCCTGTTGATGGTTCATTAAGTTCTAGTTAACTTTTTAACTAAAACATGATTACAATCACCATGGTTTTTAAAACATGCCAACTTGTTTTCTGAAAGACAGATGCGTAAGTAATACTGACTTAGAATAATATTTTGTTACGACACCAGGTGTACACCTCCTTCCCCTAGGATCTCCTAGAGGTTTTCAGATCAACAACTCTTTTCAATACATGTTAATCCAAGATAGCAGTTTCTCATAACACGATAAACACTACTACTCAGCACAGACGCTTTATTTTCCAGCTCTTCAGCATTTCCTCTTGATATTTTATTTCTATCTTGTATAATGCCCTTTAACTGAACATGAGGTTTTAGCAGAGGCTGAACAACATAACCTCCTACAGTCCATTCCAACCTCAATTACCGTATGATTCTAGAACTTGTACACTGTCATTCATTGGGCCTATCCATATTTAAATAATATTTGAGTTTTGTCAAACCAAGAAACAGACTTTTTTTCTTTGTTTTTTCTCAAAAGCCCTAAAATCTCCAACATCACTGGTGAAATTCAACTCATGTTGCAGAGAGTGGCTGGGGGAAATATAGAAGCCACTTGCAGGAACCATGCAAGTTATACAAGTTGTTTTCTCTCCCTCCTGCAGAAGTGCAATGAAGTGTTGAGTCGGTATATGCATGACTCAACAGGTATTACCACAGCTTTCACAGTACTTTCCTTCTCTCCCTCTCCTTAAGCAGTGTAGAATGCATAAACGTGTATCACAGGGTGGTGTCTCTAAATTTTGAACAAGATGTATGTGCTTGTTTCTGACATTAATATGCAAATTATCTAGTTAAGTTGCTGCTGTGTATAGCATCTGCAGCTGGCATGTTAAAGCCTATTAGCTCCAATTAGTCCACATAATTCAGCCAAATTCAAGTTGATGTTACATGTTGTAGCTCAATCTTAATCCATTCCATGCTACACAAACCTTACAGAATACTCTTGAACTCAACTGCAAAACAAAAACATGCAGGTGGGAGCAGCGACAAGGCACCCAGGAAGCACATGGACCCACTGTCCAAGCACGTAGGGATAGAATCAGGAAGATCAACACTCAGACGGAGTTGAAACTGGTGAGGAATGTGAAAGGCAACAAGGGCTTCATAGGTACAGCCCCAACAAAAGGAAGACCAAAGGTGGAACAGGCCCATGGCTGAATAGAGATGGCAAGGAAGTGACAAAGGGCACAGAAAAACATGAGATGTTCATTGCCTTCTTTGCCTTAGTCTTCACTGGCAAGATCTCCTCTCAGGTTTCCCACACTCCTGAGGCTAGACTCTGGGGGAAAGAAATACTACCAATGTCACAGGAAGATCAAGTTAGGGACAAACGGCATATAAAAGCAGGGCAATATATACATCCAACATTTAGAAAAGCTGACCAATGTCACTCATCTTTGGAAGGTACTTGATAAATGGAGTAGCTCCCCAATGACTGGAGAAAACCAAAGGTCACACAGCCTAACTTCAGTGCTTGGGAAAATTATGTGGCAATTCCTCCTGAAAGCAATTTCCAAGTGCATGAAGGACAAGAAGGTGACTGGAAAAAGCCAGCATAGATTTAGCATGGACATATTCTGCCTGACCAACTTAATTGCTTTTTGTGATGAGACAACCGGCTCTGTGGACAAGGGGAGAGCAGCGGATGTTGTTCACCTTGACAATGTAGCTTTCTATGTTGTCTTCCATAGCATCCTTGAAGCTATATTGGGGAAACATGGGGGGTCTAAATGAGTGGATTACAATGCAAGTGAAAAACAGGCTGGATCACCGAGCCCAAAGAATAGCAATCAACCATTCAAAGTCTAACTGGTGGCCACTTAGAAGTGATATCCCTCCATGATCAATACCTTTTAATATCTTCATTAATAACCCAGATGATGGGACAAAACACAAGTTTTCAGCAACTTTTCAGTTCACATCAAGTTCAAAGGAGCAGTTGCTATGCTGGAGGGTAGGACTGCCATTCAGAGGCAACTTAACATGCTGTAAGAATGGTCTGACAAACCTCATTAAGCTCAATAAAGTCAAATGGAGAGTTTCACACCTGGGACAGAATAATGCTATGCAGTACTGCAGGCCAACGTCCAAACAGCTACATACCGGCTCTCCAAACAAGACCGGAGGTCCTGATGGAAGGACAATAACAAGTTGAATGTAAGTCAGCAATCAGCTCTCGCAATTACAAATGCCAATGGGCTGCACTAGCAAGAACAGACTGAGGGAAGTGATTTTTAAGTGCCTCTACACATCATTCTAAGACTGCATCTAGAGTACCGTGCCCAGTTTTGGACCCCCATAGTTCAAGACAAATACTGATAAACTGGAGATAGCATAGCATAGGGCCACTAAGATGGTTAGGGGTGCTAGTGCACATAATAGTCAAGGAAAGGGGTGGAAGCTGGGCTTACATAGCCTTGAGAAGAGAAGAAGAGGGGAAGTGGGCCCAATTATTCTCCTCCACTACTTAAAGGCTGGCTATAGAAAATATGGAGTAACTATGTTACTGAAGAGTTTCCAATATTCCCACTAATCTGACCTATAGTTAAATAAAATTCAGTAGCATATACTTGCAAAACACGTGGCTACATAAGACTTTAAAGCTAGTATATACCCCAGGGTCACTTAAAGTTGGCAGAGGCAGAAATCATCGTAGATAAATCTGTAGTCTTTGTTCATATCAATTAAAATAAAATTTCTGAATATTCCTTAGCACACTGCACTCTCATACAAGTGTTGCTTGAAAATGCATACCCAGGATTATGGCTCCTGCCAGCCAATCTCGTGTTACCAATTTTGCAATAACAACAAACAGCTACAGACGCAAATGTAGTTGCATACTTCTACTGACCACTAAACATTGCATCATATAGCACTGGAATTTTGCCATGACTACCACTTAACCGCACTGTCATCTTATGTCCCTTGCTTCTTTTTGAGGATAACTATTTAAGTAACTGTTTTTTTGAAGCATCAGAAAATAGAACTGAGTTGTGCATTTTTGAAAGCTCCTTGACAGATTTTCAGTGTAGCCTGCTGTAACTTTTAGATTTCTAGAAATGTTTACGTGCTAACCCAAGACAAACATTTCGCTGTCCACTAGCACACATTCCAAGTAGACTGTGGACATTCTATGAACATGACTAGGAATGAACTGTCAGTGTGATATACTCAGTATAGAATATTGCATACTGTGCTAAAGAGGATAAATCATCTGAAACAGGCATAACATTAATCATGTTCAAAACCTCTACTTATCAGTGTGAATTAACTGTCTGTCCCTTTCACTGTCAAGTCAGAAAACAGGGGGGAAAAAGAGGAACAGGAGGAATGAAGCCAGACTACTGACTCAGCAGGCATATGAAAGATAACTGGAATAGTTAAACATTCCGCTTCACATTTGCTCCTCTCTACAGGAGATCCTCTTTCTTGCACTTGCTCAGAAAAACTTTTTCTGAACATTTCTGTTCATTTCTTTTCCAAAGAGGAAAGTCAGTTGTCAATCTGCCTGTAACATGCACAAACCTGAAGGACAGGACCTCTTAGTAGCACGCAGCTACATGGTTTGGTTCTTAATGGGATGGTATCCCTCAGATTGTTTCCTCCATTCCCCAAAGTATTTATTCCTTTTCTTAACCTAGTATCTTACAAGACCACTTGCAATTGACAATGAGATTTTTAGGCAACATTGGCTTATAAAGGAACTCATAATGCAAGTCTATACAAAGGCTTCTCACTCACAAAAAGAAAACACCAGCTTCAAACATGCAGTGAAGCTATGTATAAAGTTTACTTTCATCATGGAACTTATTCCTGTGATATGTGGGTTAGTACTGCTGTGGCAACTCCATCACAGCAAGAGTGGAACTGCTCGTATGAAGTAGTAAGTTGTACTTACGAAGACATTTCTTTTTCCCTCTTTCCAGCTCATCCTCTCTTCTTGCTGAGATGGCAAGCAAGGCTCCTATCTTTGACAGCTGGTAAGCCAATTCTTCTCCAATTCCACTTGAAGCTCCTGTCACCCAGACAACCTTGCCACGCAGTTCATTTTCTATCAAAAGAATCAAGACAGCAGTTCACGCATTGCCAATACTAGGATAAACATCTAAGTCACTGCAGGGGTATAATCTGATATTGTGTTTAAGAAATATGCTCATTTTGGGGGGCTATTACAAAATCCTGACTTCTTTATTTTTTGGTCACGTGCAGTTGTGAAATTGTTCATAGCTGTACTCTTGGCACTTGAACTTTGTTCCAAGGCTAATCTGAATAAACACTGATTATCTGCCTGATGGAAGAAATTTGATTGCATTTCTGCAAGCCATCCACGCATAGCATTTCCACTAACCTCATCAAAAAAAGCTTCACAGGAAAAGGGAGAAGAGAATTCTTGGAAATTACAGGAAACAGTTACAGTATTGCAAATCCAAACAAAAGCCTAAGCAAACCTTTCCCAATACTGCTCTACATCAAAAACATTCCTAAGTAATTGCCGACAGAATAAAGTTCTCTGAACAAAGTTAGCTAATTATAACAAACCGAATAGGTGCTCATCCACTTTGGTTTGTATCTGATGCAGGTTAATTCCTGCACTGGTGGGTACAGCACAGAGTTCTCAAGGCGTAAACTCACATGTGAATTTGCTGTGTACTTGTAATTCCTGCCCAGGCATGCTTTTTTAACCTGTGGTAAAAATAATAGATCTTACTCCTTTTACTCCTCTGCTTATATGCCTGTTCCACCTTGTTCGCAATCATCCCTGCTCCATGATACACCTGGGTACTGGCAAAAGGCTTAGCTTTCCAGACCTATATCCAAAATCATCAAATACAATAGATGGCTGCAAATCACCCATTTAATGATTTAAGGATGAATGATCACTAATATCAGAGCACTTTCCAGAATGTATCATTGCCTAACTCTTGTATATGTTCTTCAAGATTAGTCTTAGTGAAAATCTGACTCGAGTACTCAGAGCACTGCTGCCAGAAACCCTTCCTTCTATTTCTCAAATTTGTACAGAAGAGTATTCCAACAATGCCCAGCCAACAAAGAGAGATTTCATGGTATAATTCAGATAGCAGAGCCAAATGCAGTTCCTGAGACTTAAAGCCAGTTCTATTCTGGAAAAGGCCAGAAGAGCATTTTTCGGCTCACTGAAACTTACTACTCGTTTAATTTAGCAAAAGTACTTCTTTTTCAGTGCAGTCAGTGGCTAGGACTGTTTTTACTTCCTACTTTCTTCAGTAATCAGTTCATGGTTTACTCCACACCACACTGTGTTTCAAATTTCTACTTTCAGTCATAACGACATAAATCCCACGAAGAGATCAGCACCAAAACCTCCTACCCTTCTGACAAGAGCAGAGAGAACTCAAGACTGACTATCAGGGCTCACCTTGAGTTTGTGGGACTGGTAGTGAGTATTATTTGTCTTTTTTTAAGCTGGCTATTTTAACCAAAGAAAAATCGCTCCTAAAACCAAGCTTTGGTTGTTTTATGTTGTTTGGGGGTTTTTTGTTTGGTTTTAAAAACAGTAACAATAGCAACAACAGTCAATTCCCAAAGGAGAGATGTATTCTAAGGTTATGAACTTGGGAGGCGGAAAGAGGTGTTGCTGAAGTTGTAGCAATAAGCACCGTATTAATCGTTATACCAAATGGCTGCTGTCTGTAAAGCTTATTCACACTTTTCCTACAGTTTTATTCCAATACATTATCAATTAGCTGAATTAACCACAAGAAACATAGGGGTTCATCTCTCCTGTTACTTTTTGTTGTTGTTGGCAAAAAACCCATGTAGACAAACACTACATGAACAAAACAACACACGGACGTACTTTCAACCCTGCTTACCACACTCATCTCCTCTTGCTACTGAAAACAACTCTGCTTCCTCCTACCACTTAGTTTCCCTGTTTCCAACCTGTCTTGGGCAGCTTCATTGCAGTTATTCAGGATCTTGTTCTGCGGACAGAATAATTAACTGAGATAAGGAAAGTTTTCCACTGATTCCCCAGTGCTGATAGTTACCAAGCACTGAGCTACTGAGTGTTAACATAATGGAAAATGTAGCTCAAATGCCATTGTAGAACAAGTATCAAACCACCAGCTTGCTCTAGAATAAATGTCCTGTTGATCCTGGAAACAAGTTTAAAAATGAACCATGTCAAATCCAAAAATAAAAGCATATTATACTATTAATAACCATTAACTAGTGTGTAACAAGGCATAACAAATGAGAGGTTGAACAGAGTAGTACTGCAAGTAATCCAAGAAATGCTTTTGTAGCTCTATTTAGAGGTTTTTCCAACATTTCCTAGCTCCTATAGCACAAGGTTGCCATGTCATTTCATTCATGAAAAAAACTGAGGGTGGGGAGGTTTAGAGCAGAACATCCTCCCCACAGCCCTAAAGAAACATACCATTATTCCCAGCTTTAAGAGCAGGCTTTCAGATACGTAGGCTTTCATACATAAAAGGATCCTCCTTAGCTTGATGATAGGACACTGCCTGTGAAAATCACCCCGTCCAGGGTGATTGCTGTTCAGCTAATGGAACACAACACATAAGGAAAATCATCCAGCACCCAGTAACCCTTGTCTCCTAACCACAGAAATATTTAGAAGAGAGGAAGCAATCCATCACCTGCCAATAACAAAATCCAGAAGTGAATTCTCCCTATAGAATTGAATCATTGAAATGGAACCAGTCTTACCTATATTAAGGCCTTTCTTCATAATTACAGTTTACAGCACAAGAGAAAGAAACATAAGAGATCAGTCTGCTTTCTCTAAGTATTTTTATCTCCAAAAACTTCGACATCCATAACAATGTTGTAGACGTGATAACACAATATAATGACTGTGAGTGACAACTCTAATAACAGCTTTAAATAAAAATCAAAAAGTTTTTTCCATGGGATCCACACATTACTTACCTAGGCACACCACATTAAGTACACATTATGGGGAGGAGAAAGAGAAATGGGAGAACATAGTTAAAGACACATCTTTTCTAGGGTTTGTCCCTTCTGTTCCTACATGAACAGTTAGGATCAGCACGGTGGCACCATCATCCCACATGTGTATGGCCAAATTATCAGCAAGATGCCACTTAAATGCTACAGTTTCAGCTACATATTGTAGTTAATTACAAGCACTGAGGATGGGAGATGGGGCAGGCGGAGGGGGGCAAAACGCAGCTCACCTCTTTGCAGCACAAAGGAGCTCATGTTGACGAAATTCTGCCTGATTCTTCTTACATTACACGTTGAAAAAACTACATCAGAAAATTACTACATTGCTTTTCATATGGGAACTTTTAGAGACTAGTTAAAAAGCTTTCAGGCTTCCCATAAGTCTGAAGGCTACATTCAAATAACACTATGTCTACCTGAGAGCTCCTACACCCTGATGTGCATTGCACCTAGATCTCTCAGGACAAAGCTTCAGTTCTGTTTGTATTAGTCAAGATTTATCTTGTTTCTCTACCCTGAGTCTTTCCATAATCTTTGCGAAGTCCACACACAAAGCTTTTTTGTGGTTTTCTTATAGTGAGAGAACTACCTGATGGAGTTACTAAAAAACTTTGGGCTGCCTATCCAGAGAGTTACAGAAAATTGCTCACACAGATTTAAATTTAGTATTTGTTAGAGCTTTATTACTTGTGCATGCTTTTCTGTTTTCTTCTCCATCATACGGACTAGCACTTTTGCAGTAAGCTTCTACTGAAAGTAGAAGACACAGGTGTCTCAAGTTTGTCCTACTCTTCTCTCAAGCCCTTCCTAACGTTGACCTTCATCCATGTCACCATCCCCTATTGAATCACGGTCTCAAGCCCAAACCCTTACTCCACCATTCCTCCCAGGCACACATTCCTGATCCACCTTCACTTGATGCAGTCCTATCATCTCTCTAACTCAACCCAACATCCACTTTCATTTCCCACATGGGACAGCTTATAGTGTCCCACGTCCCATCTTCTTTCGGATCAGCTTCTGCCCCTGACCAGTCAGACACAAGAAGAGGCTGTTGCATGGTCACCAACGGTGACGCTTTCACCTCAACCTCCCCACCCAGCAGCTCATGGCAGCCCCAAATCGCCACTGCTGGCTAAGCTGACGGGGGATATTCAGAAATTTGTGGGTTTTCGGAACAAAAGGCTCTAATAAGCAAATAAAACCTATGATTTTTAAAGATCTTTGTCCAAAAGTGGGCAGAATTACAGTCAGATTAGAAAGATCAACACGAGGAAGAACTGGAAATCCCTGTCTGAAGGCATTTTATTGAACTTTTGTACCCACAGGTGTCAAGAGCAGCACCTTACAGAAAAGTGGTGTGAAGCCACAGACAGCAATCGTGTGGTGCTGTTCCCTCACGCCTTTCAGGGCACAATTCTCAGCAGATGAAACCTATTGAATCTGAACATTTAATACTCATGTTTAGTTCGCTGTAAACACTTTCAGCACTACTGTGAAACTGAGATCTGCTTGAAGATGTCAGAACAAACTGAAACAGAAGTTAAACATACTACGAAGCAACTCCTCCTCCAAGCATCCTCTCTTCTTACCGACCCGTCCTTGGACACCGTCCCTGAACCCCAAGCTCACCGGGCAGCCTCCGTTACTCCACATGCCGATGACAGCACCGGGTGTCTGCCCAGAAACAACCAAAACCACCATTTTGGGGCCAAAGAAGCCAGTTCTCGCCACAGATCTGCTGGAGCTCACCGTTGCTGCGAAGCTGCTTTTAGAAAGCTACTTCATTGACATGAGGGGCACCACACGTCTTGCTGGAGAAGGGCAGGAAAATTATGCTTTTGGGGTTCTTTTTATGGACGAGCCCATGGAGCAGCTGCCGAGGGTTGGTTCCTCCGAGCTGAGGTCACCTCAGCCCCGTCCCTGAGGCCCCTTCTCCTCCCCACACGCCGCCATCCCCTTTCCCCTCACGAA